TCTAGGATATGATCCTGAACAACATTCAAGAGGTTTTAGCCATCGGTCGGATACCTTGCGTAATGCTAATGTCGGCGGCGGTACTGTAACGTTCGAGCCTTATAACTCGAGAAGTACTTAATGAAAAAATATTTTATTATAGTGTTTTGGAAAGCTCTCGAGATAAGCTACAAGAATATTCAATGGGGCTTCCCATTTAAAAAAATGACCTTGACCTTCAAATGACCTTGAAAATGAAGGTCAAGGTCATTGTCCAAGTCATAGTTCAATCAGCCCCTTCATATCCAACAATTTTTGTTTTAAACATTTTTTTTATTTAATAATAGAATGTAACGGCCTATTACGGTTGGAGCTGGATCTTCGTTGCTTTAAATAATTCAATCTTGAATTACTAATATATACTATATATGTACTTGCATATATACCATATTGTAGTCTTTTTCAAACTGCGCGCCGAATTTTTTCCGGACTAAATAAACGCAATTAAAACTACTCTAGTAATCGCGAATTAAATTGACAAACAATTTTAATAATTTGATGCTACCATCAAGCATCATATATTATAAAGATGTTAATCTATAAAAACTATTAATAAATTTATTGCGAAAAATATTACCTCGGCCGGGACTTGAACCCGGATCTCTTGTAAACAGTATTTTTTTATTTAATCGCGATGTTTCGAGTTATTTGGCTGTCTAAGTTAAAATGGGTCGCCCTGTATAGATAATGGGTGGGATATATGGCAAAAATGCAAGGGTTTCAACAAACTAAACAAAGAATACGAAAGCAAAGCACTTGTATTTTGCTATACAACATGCTTTGCTATTCCTCTACACGTATGTATCGCGAAATAACCACTAGGTCTTTTACACGCCTTACAGTAATCATTTTTGTGGATTATAATTTATGATGATGCTACTTGTTACACACACAGTAACAAATCGATTCAACTCACAATGATTTCATTAATATTAACAGTAAGAAGCTGAAATTATAACTCAATACTAATATAACATAAAGCCATGTAACAGGAGTAGCTGCGAGAAACTTACCCCCACTCCTTCTATTTTTTCTGACTTCCGCGGCGTAAATCCCAGCGCGGCGTATTTATCGGAGTTACCCTATATTATAATTGTGTATTCATACATGTCCCCTCGAAAAACAATGTTCACTCACCAGTTATCAGTTTTCATTATTTAAAGCGTGAACTATTCACATTATATAATAGAAGTTTTATCATAAATTTTGTGAAAAGTACTTACAACACTGAATTTACTGATAATATGACTTTTGGCGTAAAAAATTATTTAATTTCTTCACTTATACTGTTTACATATTGACAAAGTTCAAAGTATACGTGCTCCACGCAATATTTTAGTTCAAACATAAAAAACACAATTGACGGCTTCATGTACAGACATGTACCAAGTTATGACAATGTTGTTAATATGTACTCGCTGGAATTATTTTATTCCTGTGTTGTGGATTGAGGAAGGTAGAGAAAACGCTTGTCTTGTATTGAGAACGAGTTGTGGTAGTCTTGCTTCCACCGAAAAGATTCTTTATTCTCCTTCTGCGCCAACATCTGTGCGCGCGCATGCTTACATGAGTGAAGGTGAATTTACAATGGAGGGATATTCAAATGATACTAGATACAAGACAAGATAACTTAACATATACCCCCCGCCTTGAAGGGTTTAACCCTTAAAGAAATTAACAATTGGAACTTAACTATAAATTGCAAGGAAACAAGGGAATAAATGATGCAAATTTTAAGTATGATGAATCTTAAAGCTAAGTAATAATGCTTTCTATAGATGATGTAATAATATATATAATGGTATATATATATGTGTGAAAGATATATTTCTTAAAATTAAATCTAAATAATTCACGCTCAAGTTATGCACCTTTTCTATAAAAATGTTTAACTAAATAATGTAATTCAGTAGATGAAGGTAACAATTGTGAATGTGTCGAATAAACTTAATCGCCATCTGAGTCTGATGGCAACGGACAAAGTTTGACTAAGGCTCGTTTTATAAGGCCTCTTTCAGTTCTTATTGTTGCTACTCTTGCCACGCCATCCTTGCCTGGGTGAAGTTCAGCAATTCTTCCCATTTTCCAATGTGCGGGTGGCAAGTTGTCCTTGACCAGTACCAGGGTGTTGATTTGCAACGCTGGATGAGGGTATTTCCATTTTACTCTCGTTTGCAATTCGGATATATATTCCTTGTGCCATCTGGACCAGAAATGTTGCTGTATTTGCTGGATGAGTTGCCATCTTGACAGCCTGGATTCTTTAATTCCGTTCAGTGATGGATCTGCTATTGATGTATACTTTCAGCCGATTAAGAAGTGAGCTGGTGTAAGGGGTATGTAGTCGTTGGAATCGTTTGATAAAGGGGTCAATGGACGGGAGTTTAAAATTGCCTCGATTTGAGCTACTAAAGTGTACATTTCTTCGAACGTTAATGACGCATTGCTCGCGACCCTCCGCAAATGATGCTTTGTGCTACGCACGCCGGCTTCCCAAATACCGCCCATGTGAGGTGAATATGCAGGTATGAAATGCCAATGCACGCCCATCTCATCAGCCTTTAGGCTTAAGATGTCGAGCTCATTGCGCAAGAATTTCCCGAGCTCATCTAATTCCTTATTCGCGCCAACGAAAGTGGTTCCGTTGTCGGAATATAAATGCTGAGGTTTGCCTCGACGTGCTGTAAAACGCCTAATAGCTGCCAAAAATGAGTCCGCGGACAAGTCTGACACTATTTCTAAGTGAAGCGCCTTTGTAGAAAGACAGACAAATAAGCAAATATAACATTTGGATGTCCGACTTCCGCGACCCTTTCTATCCTTAATATGAAATGGACCAGCGTAGTCTACACCGGTATTGTGAAACGTTGGGGAAGGCGAAGCTCGAGGAAGAGGCAGCGGACCCATCTGAGCCATGGCTGTTCTGGGTTTTGATTTAAAGCATGTAATACAATTTCTAACTACTTTTCTTGCTAAGTTCCTGCTGCCAAGAGTCCAAAATCTTCCCCGCGTGTGAGATAAAAGAAGCTGCGAGCCTCCATGCAATAAATTTATGTGCTCTTGCTCAAAGATGAGCAATGTTAATCGATTCTTAGAGCTCAAGAGAATTGGGAATTTTTTGTCGATTTCAAAGTCCGCGTTCCTCCAACGACCTCCAACGCGCAATATGGAATTTTCATCCAAGTAAGGATTTAATGCTACCAATTTCCCTTTTTTTACGTGAGTTCCTAATTTAATGCTTTTAATTTCGACGGAAAAGTCCATCTCTTGCGTTAGTCTTATTAACTTTAATAGAGTTTGGTTAGCCTCCTCTCCATTAACACGAATATTTTGTCGTCGATTGCGTTTCAGCACCCTAAAGCAGTAGGAAACTACTCTGAGCAGAGTTGATAATTTGGAGTAACGAGATACAATTTCTGCAACATAATGCGGGGAATTTGTTTGTATGCTAGCATGTAGTGCTGAGACGACTTGATTGGAAGGTTGATATTCGTCATAAGGCCATTCGGATTCGTGACTCTGTAAGAACTTGGGCCCTTGCCACCAAATTTCCATGTTCCTCAACTTCGTTGAAGCTACGCCTCTAGACAATAAATCCGCTGGGTTCTGATCCGTTGATATGTGTCTCCATTGTGCATCGAGATCTAGCTGTTGTATCTGAGATACTCGATTAGCGACAAATACTGGTTGGATATGTGGTTGTTCTTGAATCCAACTCAACACAATGGTGGAATCTGTCCACAGGAAAATTTGATCGATTTTGCAAGTCATGGATCTTTTAACCTTTGAAACTAAACGTGCGACAGTTAATGCTCCGCATAATTCGAGCCGTGGTATTGTTTCTGTCTTTAAGGGAGCAACTCTCGATTTGGCGCATAGCAGTGAAATATGAACTGATCTCGTTGCATTTTGCGATCTTATATAAATACATCCTCCGTAAGCATCCTGTGATGCATCAGAAAATCTGTGGATTTGAATTCTCACAGGATTACTGCAAATAGAATGTCTAGGAATTGTAATATCGTTTAGGCACGCTAACTGACCGCGATACTCAAGCCATTGGGAATGAATGCCTGTTGGAGGGGACTCATCCCATTCGGTTTTTGCTAACCATAATTTTTGTAGAATAATTTTTGCCAGAATTTTGCAAGGAGCTAACACACCTAGAGGATCGTATATTTGTGAAGTTTCCGAAAGGATGCTTCGTTTTGTAACTTTAAACTGCTTAGAGAGGTTTATCGAGAACGTGAGATGATCTTTATCTGTCTGCCAATTCAGTCCTAGCGTTTTATGCGCATTGTTTTCACCCAGCGGTATTATGGACAACTTATCTTCCTTACCTACGACATCTGATATGATTGAAGATTCGTTGGAAGCCCATTTTGCTAATGGTAGGCAGCCTGACGTTAACACGTCACGCAAATTTCGATTAACTACTTTTGCTTCCTCAATATCATTGAAACTAGTCAACAGATCATCTACATAAAAATCGGTACGAATGATCCTGGCGACGTCAGGTAGGGATTGTTCACACTCTTTTGCGAATTGCATTAGCGACTGAATGGCCAAGTAAGATGCCGACGATGTACCGTACGTTAACGTGTTTAATTCATAAACCTTTATCTCCTCTTTTGGATCTGCTCGCCAAAGTATGCGCTGCAATGGACGATCGCTAGAGGAAACAAGTATCTGGCAATATACATTTTTTGTATATCCGCGCATACAACATACGGGTATTGTCTAAAACGAATGAGTATAGAGAAGAGCTCGTCTTGCACGACCGGACCTACGTATTGACAGTCATTCAACGATAATCTACTGTCTGACTTTAATGAACCGTTGAATACCACCCGCAACTTGGACGTACTGGTCGGCCGAAGCACACCGTGGTGCGGCATGTAAAACGTAGGGTGATCATGCGATGTTTCCTGAATACTAGTCATGTGACCGAGTGCTTCATATTCCCGCATGAATGCGCAATAGTTCACCCTAAAGGATTTGTCTTTAAGAAATCGTTTCTCTAATGAAATTAATCGCCGTACTGCGACGCTTCGCGATTCTCCGAGTTGTTTCGGATCTATTTTAAATGGGATTGATACTATAAAACGCCCGTTCGTATCCCGTTTATGGGTTTGACTGAAATGTTGTTCGCAACTGTTTTCTTCTTGGCTTGTTTGTACCTTGTCGTCAATTGATTCCAATTCCCAAAATTTTTTTAATTGCATGTCGATATTGCTAGACGATTTAACATTGCTAAGATTGCATTTTATGGACTTAGAAACTTGAGAAAAGGTTGGGCCGCCTACTATCCAACCTAATTTGGTTTTTTGTAAAACTAAACCTTGTTTATTGATTTCAATTTGCCCTATGCATAATAGTCTCCAAAACCACGCGCCTCCGATCAGCAGATCGACCTTGCCAGGTATATGAAATGAGGGGCTGCTAAAGGTAAATGCTTTGGAAATTTTAAGTGCTGCACAATTCAATGGGTTCAGCTGGCATTTGCTGTTCGATTTCATCTAATACTAGACAATTTATTTGAAACTCGAAATCGCGACGTAGGGACGATAAAGTTACTGAGCACGTATGTTTAATTATAGATCCTTTACAATTTAAAGTATCTAAGTAATGATTTGCTGGAATTTTCTTTAGACCCAGCTCGTCACACAAGCGATTTGATATGAAACTCGATTGGGAACAAGAATCAAGTGTTGCTCTTATTTGTATTGATCCCTGGGGTCCTTTAGACGTTGTTATAGCTGTAGCTAAGATGACATTGATATTATTACGAGATGACGCACACATAGATTTAACAACTTTGCTCGAACCGCTATTTTCATTTTTGTCAAAGTGCAGCAGTGTATTATGTTTGGCGTTGCATTTTCTGCAGGAGCCCGAGGAACATTCTTTAGTCGCGTGTCCCTTTCTTAAACAATTGAGACAAATCTTAGTTAATTTGGCCTTGTTTGATCTCTCTAACGGTGTAAGTTCTAGAAATGTGCTACAATTCTGTATGTAATGATCTCCTTTACATATTACGCATGCGGATTTTTGAGAGCGAAAAGATTTGGACTTGGCCGTCGCGACTTTCGCAATTTTGATATCTTTACTATCCGATTTAGATTGCGATTCCATATTTTTTACAATCTGAGCACGATCTCTTAAAAAACTATTTAAATCTGTAAGCGATGGATTGGATTTCAAGGCTAATTTGTGTTTCTCCCATTCATTGGAAGTATTTCTATCTAGTTTCGTGTGAATATGATAAATTACTAAAGAATCCCAATGCTCTGTGGGCTCGTTTAGAATCTTTAATGCACGTAAATGCTTTGTGACTTCGTCAATGATTGCTAAAAGTTTTGCGGATGATTCCTTTGCGATTGGCTGTATATTGTACAATGCTTTCACGTGATTGTGAATTAATTGCCTTTGATTGTCATACCTTTCTCGAAGCGCATTCCATGCGATTGCGTAATTTGTGTCAGAAAGCTCGATGGACTCTATAACCTCCTCTGCTTCACCCACTACCGACGCCTTTAAATAATGAAACTTCTCTACGTCTCCAATTGCGTGATTATCGTGTATTAGAGATTTGAAGGTGTCACGGAATCCCAACCACGATTCAAATTCACCGTTGAATTTTGGCAACTTAATAGTAGGCAGTTTTACGCCAAGAGGCTTAGGCGAGACAACGGAAGCCTGAAATGGAGGAATCATACCTGTAACGTTATGTTGTGATTGAATATTTTGATTTGCAGATTCCCTAGCTTGTCCGCGCGATAATATTTCTTGTGCGTGAGCCATAACTGCGAAAAATTCGTTTTCGAATTCTTCACGGTTTTTTAATTCCTCTACATCGTCCATGCCCTCGCTCGCCTCTTCGATGGCATCCTGAGCTTCATAAAATTCGTTAATTATATTATTTGCCTTGAGCATGCGACCTTCTATTTCCATCCGAAGTAACGGAGGGATAGATTGTGTTGTTTCATAATCTTCGGGAAGCCGCGTGGGCAGCGTGTTTATTAAAAAGTTTTTTAGCATCGTGAGGCGCATCCTCAAATGACCTCTTTTGCGCTGCAAGGTTGACATTGTTAACTAAATGTTAGTAAATTATGAGGTTAAGATGATCTAACCTAAAATAACTAGACAGTTGAAATGAGCAATATCTCGCGTATTTCACTCAAATCTAAGCAATTCTTTGATTTAATTGGAAATGGATAGAGGATAGCTCACTTATCTTTAGTGTTACTGCTACAATCCGAATGGCTTGTGCCCTTCCTTTGTTGCGAATAAGGTTAATGTGACCTTTTCGTGCGCTGTCCTGCTCTTTATCCTGGACGCGACTCGTTGGCGCGACTCGTTGCTACGACTTGTTGCTCGAGCTCGGCGTTTTGATGTGTTTTTGCAAGTTTTACTTGCCTTCAGCTTGCTGCTTACTGTTTGCTTCGAACGATCAGGAAGTGCCGCTGATCTTACGAATGTTGCTATGGCGTCGATCGCCTCGTGGCCTTTTGATGCCAAGATGATATTTCGATCTCGTTCTCGTTGATTGCTGGATACTTTCCTCTACAATCCGGCTCGAAAGACCAATTTTATGTTGTTAATATGTACTCGCTGGAATTATTTTATTCCTGTGTTGTGGATTGAGGAAGGTAGAGAAAACGCTTGTCTTGTATTGAGAACGAGTTGTGGTAGTCTTGCTTCCACCGAAAAGATTCTTTATTCTCCTTCTGCGCTAACATCTGTGCGCGCGCATGCTTACGTGAGTGAAGGCGAATTTACAATGGAGGGATATTCAAATGATACTCGATACAAGACAAGATAACTTAACAGACAATTTTGCATTATATACAACGCGTATTGTAACAAGGTCTGCAATCAGAAAGATTTCAAAGATCCACGTAAAAAAAAGCAATTCCAAGAATCAAATACACAAAATGATATACAGGGTGTTACGGATACATACTAGGAAGTATGACGGGTTGCATAGCAGATTTTGAAGGGGCATGGTGCTGTTCAATGGTAACGACTGCGCGCGTAGGTAATGACGGTGCCTTTATACCAACAATATCAGGAGCGTTCCAATTATGACGGACTTGAATAGTAATCATTGTGATCATTATAAGAGGAGCCGAAACGGTAATTAAAGATGAAAAATTGAGTTTTTTAACAAGTTATGCGATAAAACATTTTTCATATAAGAACGTCATATATAAATATATATAAATTTATACAATTATATGGGCAAATCCATCGTAGTTTTAACTTTACGATTTCTTTTAATTTTTTTTACAAATGAGTAGCACATCAATTTACCAATAATCTACGTGTCTTAAATTGGTTTAGTAACAGTATTCTGCAAGCGTCAAGAGAATTTAGTGAACGGCACAAAAGTTATAACTTTAAACAAAAAATAACTTTATTTCAATATTTACATTTATTACAAAGTTATCATACATTGACTATTTATCAAATAACGTAGACACATATTTTTCTTTTTATACATTTAACAAACAAAAAGTAATTTTATGAACTTTTAATACTTCAATAACGCACTTTGATTAATTAGCATTACTTAGCTCATTTTTTTTTATTTTCGACTGTTGCGACTATTTTTCTGTTCACTTTTTTCAGTGTTTTTAGCACGACTCTTTTTCGGTAATATCGAAATAGTACTTTTCGATACAAGGGCGTAAAGTTTTTTTCTACGAATGTGCGTGTTGCGGCCCGAGCCGGAGGCGAGACGTAAAATCAAGACTTTACATGCGTAAAGTCATAATTTTAAATCTTAAGTCTATTCTTCTAGCAATTAAAAATAGATTTGGAAGGCATTTACGTACCCACTATCGAAGGTATTTCTTTAAGAATAAGTTCTCTGTGATAACACAATAAAGACTGCGCGCTTTGACGAAAAGGTTCGCTGAAAGTCATGGGGTCTTCCTTGATTTGTTTACAAACTCAAGCTTCAATACAAACATTAATTCGCGCTTACAATATTCCTAATTATATATGAAGTTTACGAAACATTCAATGATTGATGAGGTACATGCTACAAAAGTGAATTTGTTTAATATTTTTAGTTTCTAGTGCATCCTTGTAGTCTTATTATAATATTAAATATACGAAAAAATTGAAAAAAAATTATTTTGCAATTAGAATTTAATAGAATTTCCACACGGTCTGTAAAATGAAACTTTACGTCCTAGAACCGTAAACTACTATATTGTTGTTGTCATTAATAGGAAGATCAGAAGCATTAATATAACATTAATACGGTTGATATCAGTAGAATATATTGAGGAAAATGATTAATATTATTTATGGTGAAAATGTAATTTCAACTGTATAGATTGTTAAACCTTTGAAACTTTACGCATTCATGACAATTGAACGCCACTATTCTTTTGGTGAGGAAAAACAGTCGAGAAAGCGTTTACACTCTCAACTAGGCCTCTAAAGACGAGATTGTAGATGTGCTGTACAAAAAACTACTTTTTCGTTATCGTTTACGTTTGAATGATCAATATTTCAAGTACTCTCGTGTCAAAAGTATGTGTAGCACACTACTCAGGCACTGCACAAAATGTTCATTTTTATGTTAACTATGAATGTATGCTAGTAGTTTGCAATTAAAACAAACGGCGTTATTTTTCTATTGTTAACTGTCTGAAAATCGACGAAATTAAAAAATAGAGTCACACTTATTCACGATATAATAACTTTTTGAAAACAAGTGGCACATCAATTTCCCGGTAACTGAAGTTGTATAATGATAATAGCTCGCTAATGTCTTTGGAATTAGATTGATAACTATCAGGGCGTCCGAGAAAAACTATTAAGAATAAAAAATTTCATGCGAGTCATACGTCAGATTTTCAATTTTTCGTACATTTAAATGCTTAGAACCCCATAAAAGTCGCGTCCACGAGGCCGATATTCGGTAGACATATATCCTTAGTATTGATATATACAATTGCACTAGAGTTACCTCATACATTTGTTCTAATGGAGATATAAATTACTATCTTAGTCAGTCACACCAAAAGTTAAAACTACGATGGATTTGCCCATATATATACGAAATATTTCCGTATGTTCTTCTTTCTTTTGTAAAATTACTATTTGGTACAAGAAAAATAGTAATAATAAAAAAACTTAAAAAATCATGAAAAGGATAATTTTTGCATTGTTAGTCCGGATCTACAATAGGGTTTCAAGCCTTAAGCCATAAGAAATGGGCGAATCACAGTCGCTTATTCTTCTCGGATTCGACTGTAATTGGTCAATTTCTTACGGCTTAAGGCTTAAAACACATATTGTAGATCCAGATTTACTCTTACGACAAATCTAGTTTGAAGAAATGAGAAAAAATTGCTCATATATAACTATAGAATGTTTTAGATATAATTATATATCTGAGTAATTCTTTCTCATTTTTTCGAACTTGACTTTTTGTAAAAGAAACAATGAGAAAATTGTCCTTTTAATTATCTGTTTATATTTTCTCATTGTTATTATTAGTTCTCTTGTATCGAACAGTAATTTTACAAAAGAAAGAAGGATAAATAATATATATAGATTTATTTCGTATGTAATTATATCTTATTTATACATTTATGAAAAATGTTTTATCGGTTAACATGATAAAATATACGAATATCTTACAACAATCTTTCTTTTTTCACCCATTTACTTTTCATATTGACGTTGTAAGTTTCGACTGGATTTTCAGAATCAAAAGAAAGAGAAAAAGCGTGTCGACTGCAACTCCGTACTGTGTATTCCGTTCTGGAATCAGTTGCTGGAAAAATTCGCGCGATCTGAAACCCAGCGTAGAATAATCGTAATTTAACCGATGACAGCCAACACGAATGCTACGAACGATATAATTTCGATATAAATACAACACAACCGGTTAAAAAAAATTGTTACCAAAATTAATTCGATATTCAGGCCTTGATCTTGAAAGTTCGGAATGTTCTAAGAGTGTTGATCCCAGACAGCACAATAAGTAAATATTTATAAAATATTTACAAAATATTTGTAACATTTATTTTGAATATTTTGTAAATATTTTTGTAATCTTAGATTGCGCAGATCTTAAGGGGGTAGTTCTAGTGAAAACGACGTTTTTTCAACAACTTTAATAATATTTTGAATAAAGGTTTATCTAAAATATTTTTAAAAAGAAATATTAACAAATATTTAAGAATATTTATCATAAATTGTTTGAGTATCATATTAATTATGGATTGACATTGATAATGACACGATCGGAGTCAAAACGTTTGTGACTTTCTCTTAACGTTTTTCTTTAGCTGTATTATTGTTACTGACTTCATTATTGTATATTATGTATTTATTATGTTTAGCTCGTAGCCTCTTTCTTAATATATTTATTTTAATTTTTATTATAAATATTGTGTGCTGTCTGGGACTACCAACGATGATTCTGCTTATCTGGGAAACGATTAGGGTAAAGAACTGCGGCCATCCTTTCATTTTTATTTCATTCTCCATAAATGAGGAACATAGTCGCTATAACTGTGAAATTACGTAACTTGATGTTACTAGGCATCGTTCACTCACGTTTTCATTACAACTAGACGTACTGATTGTCTTTTGTCTGATTCGCGTTATAGGTCCATAAGGATGTAGAAAAATGCGGAATGTAACGCGAAACAAACAAAAGAAAATCAGTACGCCTCGTTGTTGGTAGCGAAAACGCATGAGTGAAAGATGCCTTGTTATACTAACGAAGAGTTAGCAAATATGTTGCTCATTTATGGCGAATGCCATAAAAATGAAAGGATGGCCGCAGTTATTTACGCTAATCGTTTCCCTGATAAGCAGCACCCATCACACGCGTTATTTGGTATATTATTTCGTCGAATTTGCCAATATGGCACTCTTCACACGTCAACACGTCCATGAAACATACGCCGACGCGGTGAAGAAATAATCGGTGAAGTGAGAGATGCTGTCGTTGCAAATCCGCATACTAGCACCAGGTGTATTGAGCGTGATTTTAATATAAATCACGTCAAGGTGCACAGGATAATAAAGAATAATCTTCGGTGGCATCCTTT